GGTAACTTTCGTGATAAAGGACTTTAACCACTCGGCTATTCATCATAAGTCTGTAGCAAGCAGATAGGTCAAAAGAAATTATATTGCACTAAAGAGTGAGTCTTCTTATCTCTTCCATACCAGGGGAATAAGGGACAAGCCGATCGATACAGTAGCTGCTGTATACTTCTTGCAATTATCAATAGCTGATTTCGCCTTTTGAGGCCTGCATCTATTAATGCAAGCTAATAATAATCGTTTGGGCCTCCCTGTAGGCAAGGGAGCCAAAGCTTCAGCTCGCCAGCGCTGTTTATGCAATTGCAGAGCTCAAGTGCCCCTCCCGGGCTACCTGCAGCCAGATGCCTTAGCCCGGAGAGAAGTTCTTCTGCAGCCTCTGCATCCAGCGTGCGGAGACTCCCTGCTGATGTTCTCTGTGATGCCAGAAAAGCCCTGGAACTTCTGCCTGTGGTGCCTACAGGAGGGTGCACAGCCCCGTGGTACACGCCAGCAAGGCTTCGGAGCACACAGACCAACACGGATTTACATACCCGCACACGCTCCTCCTGTCTGTTAAAAATATTTAGGCGTATTTATCTCAATCGCTTCGAAAGTAGAGGAGGTCAGAGCAGTGAGCTATGTACTGGTTTACTTAAGTAGAGCATTTTATTTTTATGGGGAAAGTTATCTTCAAGTGGCTGAACAGAAGCTTGGAAAAAGCGTTTTCAGAAACCATAATTTTTGGCTACATGTTTCCTAGCGCCCTTCCCCACCCCCAGTGTAATAGAAAAGCAACATCTTTATAATTGGCACTTGACATGCTGTTTGCGTTGGGCTGTGGCACACCAAGCACAGATTTCCTGTTGATGGAAACATTTATCATCGTGACTGCCCCAGAGTGGCAGGTGGTGTTATCAATTACCTCTTCTTACCAATAATAATATTAGTATGGTAATATCTTTGCTCAAGTGAGAACCAATTAGCGATCACTTGTCACAGCATTAAAGACACAAAATCATGCTGGATTTAACCCTAAGAACCAAAAACAAAAGTTGGGGGTGGGGGTAGAATGAGAGAGAGAGAGAGAGGTGGCCAGTGAATAGAAGAAACGAATTGGAGGAGGAAAAAAGAATGAAAGGGGGCCGAAAATGAAAGTCCTAATACATGAATGCTCTTTTGTAGTAAGTGGTTGGGGAAATAAACACTTGTAAACAAAGTGTCAAATGCACCTTATGTAGAACTGTCTTTGGTGGCTCTAGAGCCCAGGTAGCTTCAATAAACTGTGACTGCAATGTTAAACTAGAACCAACTATTCGAGCTCCCCTTTTCAAATCAATCTTGCAGATAGGCTTTCAGCTTTATCTGAATAAATGATACAAATTAAATCAAACACCTAATTATATGTTTCACTAATGCAAAATATACAGTATTAATTTGTAATATTATTAAGCAGACAAAATAATAATGTGTCGCCTCTTAAGATAAAACATTGCAAGAGGGAAAACAATTAACTAATTAGATTTAATTATAGGGAAGAAAAGCAACTTTTGTTATTGCAATAGTGTTTCGATATTACAATATTTTAATAGACGCCGGTCATGTGACGGCGAGTGTGCGCCTGCCGCACGCCTGGCTCAGTATCTGCACCTCCTAAATCCGCTCCCGAGCGTCCCTTTAATCTGGGCACAGCGAGAGCCACATCCTGTCTCTCATCTGTGAGAATGCTCGGTTGACACGCTGTCACTTCGCCATAAATCCACCGTTGCCACTCAGACTTCAGATGCAAACGCCTTCATTAAAACTTGCCACATTGAATAAGAACAATTAAAGAAAAGTTTCTGCTCTGCATGTAGGGAGTGGGAAAGGGAAGGGAACAAGTCGGTCACGAAGTAACGTGCCTCTTGTTGTGGACCTTTACTTTTTAAAAAATTGATCTTGTTGACCCAAGTCATTTTGTGAAAGGGCGCGCCGCAGGCGTTACGTGTGCACCATTTCAGCAGTGGCAGGAACGCGTGCTGCAGGGTCCCTGGCCCCTTCCCCAAGGCTGAGCTCCGTCCTCCCCACAGGCCCCGCGCAGCCTGCGGGGAGGGAGCGCGGAGCCCGAGACTTCCCGCGGCCCGCGCTGTCCTGCGCCGCCGACGGCCCACGGGGCGAGCGGGCGCCCCGCACCCGGCCGGAGCCCCCTCGCCAGCCCGAGCCCGCCGCAGCCTGCTCCGTGTCCCACTCGCGCGTCGCACGACTCGCCAACACGTCTGCTCTCTGAGGCCTCGCTCCTTACAAAAGAAGGCCGGGCTCCCACATCAGCCCTCACTCGAGGGACCTGGAAGAACCTTCCCACGTCCACGCCTCGTAGGAAATGCAAAGCCAGCCCACGAAGTTAAACGCTTCACTTTGGACGTCCCGGAAATCTGGCGGGTGTGTCGGAGAGAGGGTGGGGTGCGGGGAGCGCGCAGGGTGACCGAGGAGGGGTCGGTGCCGCCGGCCCGGAGGCTGCAGGGTCGAGCCGGCTCCAGGCATCCTCGGACGGGCCGTGGGAACCTGCGTGTGTGCCGCTTCTCCTCACAGTGTGTCGATTTAAAAAAGGAAGGAAAAAGGAGAGGGAATTAACCAGGTCGTAACAGATGGTGCTCAGACCCACCGGCGACCGTGCCTGCGTTCTTTCTCCTGCAGAAAGCCGGCACTGCCTGCTGCCTTCCGCCGGCTCGGCGACTTCCCCAAACTCTTTGGTCCTGCAAATTCTGCAATAAACTTCCATTCCCCACAGCCGCTCGCCCCCACCTCTCACTCCCGCATTCCTTCTCTCTGCCCGTTTTCCAGGGAAAATCCATGCACCCGCTGGCCCCAAAGCCGGGACAGAAAACTTTGCACCGCCCGGCGCTCTGCGCCAGGTCAGGAGCGTCCCCCAAATGCCTGCAGCGTCTGCAAAGTTCGGGCGCACTTGCTGGGTAAAGACGTCCCCCGTCACAGCTCAACCAGGAGGGCGCTACCGATGTGTGTGAAACGGGACAACTCTAGATTTCAAACATCTTTTATTGGCCTTTTTTCTTTAAAAAAAAAAATCACTCAAATGAATACGCCCGCCACCAAAAGGTAAAATAAAACCAACCTTAAGGAATTTTTTTTTAAGTGGCGATGGGGGCTCTTTGGAGATGCCTCCAACCCGCGCTCTTCCTCTGTAGGTTTTCCGGCGTTTCTCCCGGAGCCCAGAGCTGTTGCTTCGTGAAACTTACACGGTTAGAGGCGGGCGGGAGAAGGCGGGCTGGGAGCCCGAAGATTCTAGAATGCAAAGAGCAGCCCGCGGAGAGTAGGGCGCGCCGCGCCGGGCCGGGGTCCGCTCGAGGGGGCGGGGAATTCCCCGGCCAGGCAGCCCTCCCCCCCAGCCCGCCAGGAGCTCGCGGTCCGCGGGGCGCCGGAGGCAGGCTGGTCACCGCCCTCTCCCCCCACGAATGACACCGGGGAGGCTCCGGAGGCCATCTGCGCCGAAGCTCCATACCAGCCAGGGCCACTTGCAAGGACAAAAATAAGATATTTAGGAAATGAAAAAAGACATACTGGGGCGAGGGGCACTGGCGCGGGAGCGGCGGCAACCGGGCCTGGGGCACATCCTGGCGGCCGTTCGGGGATGGAGGACACGCGCGGGCGAGCGCGCGGGCGTGTGCACGGCTGCGGGTGGGAGTGCGCCCGGGTGTGCGCGCGGGTACGAGGGCGCGTGCGTGTGACCGCGGGCGAGGGGGCGGGCGCGTGTGCGGGGAGCGCGCCGCGCCAGCTGCCCGAGGGTGTGGGGCCGGGCCAGACGCACGCACCCCCTCACCTGGCCCCCCACGGCACCCCCGAAATCCCGAGAACACGGTGGGCCGCGCGCTGGACTTTCGTGGAGTTGGAACTTTCCATCGCGTTCGCTGCCCACTCCGCAGGCTCCCAGGCCCCGGGTGCCCGGGCCACAGTGCCCATTGGGAAGGGGAGCTGGGGTGGGGGGCACTGGGCCCGACTGTCCCCTCCCCTCCCTACATTTAAGAAGCCGCCAGCGTCGGAGAGGCCCGGTGGGCTGGCGTGGGGGCCGAGGCGGCCCCGGTGGCGGCGGCGGGCGGGGCGGGCGCTCCGGAGTCTGTGGGGCCCGGGGTGGGGGGGCGGGGAGAAGGGGGAGCGGAGGGGAGGAGGACGCAGGGGAGGGGAGGGGAGGAGCCGCGCGGCCCGCGCCGCTTGCGAACCGGAAAGTTGGTCTTGCCGAAGTCCTGCCACCCCGGCGTGCGCACTCTGCTCCGCTCCGGCCGCGAGCCTCCGAGCCGGGCCGGCCGCCGGGGGAGGCCGCGGAGGGAACACGAGCCAGGAGAGAAGGTCCGCAGAGAGGGAACACCTGAGCCCGAGCGAGGCCGGCGCACCGAGCGGCGCCGCGACCCCGGCCGAGGAGCCCAGGCGGCCGGCCGACCCTGCGCGCCCGGAGCGCAGGAGGCGCGGCGCCGACGGCGGCGAGAAAGGGCGCGGTCCTGCCCGCGCGCTCGCTCGGGAGGGCCGCCCGGCGGCGGCGGGGGGCGCGGCGCGGGGCGCGCGGCGCAGACACTCTATAAAGGGGCGAGCCGGCGCGCGGCGGAGACGGCGCCGCGCGGACGCCGCCAAAGTTTGCTGCCTGCGCCCTGCGTAGGGGCGGCCACCGCGGCCCGCGCGCACCGGGCCGCCGGAGCCACCTGGGCGGCCGACGAGCGCGGCGCGGAGCGCGGGCGGCGAGCCCCGATGTGAGGCGGCGCCGGGCAGCGCGCGCCGAGGTCCCGCAGGCGCCGCGGCCCCTCCTCGCCCGCGCGGCCGCTAATTGCGAGCGCGGCCTCATTTGCATAGGCCGCCGGAGTCCGCTGGAGGCCGGCCAATCGGCGCGGCCCTCGGCTAATGGCCATGCATTATTCACCAGCCTAATTGCTCAGCCCCATGCGCGGCCCGCGCAGCCGCCGCCGCCGCCCCGCGCCCCGCGCCCCGCGCCCGCCCGGCCGCCCCGCCGCCACCCCGCGCCGTCCCCGCCGGCCTCCCCGCTGATGCCGCTGCCCCGCGCGGGGCCCGAGCGCCGCTAGCAGCATGTCTCGGCGCAAGCAGGCCAAGCCCCAGCATCTCAAGTCGGACGAGGAGCTGCCGCCGCCGGACGGGGCTCCGGAGCACGGTGAGGGCCGGGACCTCGGGGGGCCGGAGGATCTGGGGCGCGCATGGGGCTGGGGAAGCGCGGGCGGCGGGATCGGCTGCGCGCGTCGCGGAGTAAGAAAAAGTTGCCTGGTTCCTGCGAGCAAGTGTCCGTGCCGCGCCCGGCCCCCGGGCCAGGCCGGCCTCGGGGACCCGGGTACTCTCCCCGAGCGCGCGCGGCCGCGGAAAGAGTTGTGGGCGAAGTAAACTTGGTTCTCCTCCTCGGAGTTGGGGAGCCGCGCGCGGAGGCGCCGAGGCCAGGAACGGCTCGGAGCCCACGCGGAGGCCAGGGCGGAGGGGGGTCCTCTGAACAGCCCCCCGGTTTTCCGCAGTTGGACGCTGAAGCCGGCCTCGGCCACCCCCGAGCGAGCGCAGCGGCGGGGATCGCGTCCAGAGCTCCCCCACCGCTGGACGCGGGCCGGGGAGACCGCCACCCGGCCAGCTTTGTTCGGAGCCGCGCGTCTCGGCGCCCCAGGCAGTGCGCTGGGAGCCGGCCCTGGGGCCCACGCCGCCTCCTGACCCCACCTGTGCCCCCCCCCCCCGTGCCGCCAGCCGGCCGCCTCTGGTGACCCGCGGGCCGCGAGCCTCGCGATGTCCCAGCGCGGTGGCAAATCCAACGACCCCATTCCGAAGCGAACAGAAAGTAAACGCATCTTGGCCTTTCCTTAATGGCCGACCTGGGAATTGGGCTGGGGTGAGCACAGCTGCGGCGCCGGGGGCCGGTCTGTGCACGCAGGGGGGCCCGGCATGTGTGTGGTGGGCTCGCGTTTTTCCGTAGGCCTTTTCGTGGTCTTGTGGATGCACCGAAATCGGGCGCTGGAGGCACCTTTGCAGTCATTTCGCTGGTAGGAACTTTCTCCTGGAAACATCCAAAAAACGAACGGCCCGCGCCGCCCAAGTTAGAGGCGGGCGAGGATTTGGACTTCCTGTGGCTGAGCTTTAGAGCCGTGAATGAGGTCCGGGGCGCCCCGAGTCCGCCGGTCCGGTTGAAGCCCGGGCCCTGGGCGCCCCGGGTCGGCGCGCCCCGCGGGGGCCCCAGGGCGCCGGGACCAGGGCCGCGGGCGCACGGCGGGGCGCGGGCCACCGAGCCTCGGCGGAGCTCGCGCGGCACGCAATTCGCTCCTGAGAAAAGAGGCCGGCCAGCTTTTATGATTAACGTCTTACAAGTTGTTTGGAGGCAGATAGTCATCTTTCTCCTCTGAGAGCAGAGTGTCTGCAAAAAGTGAAAGGAGTTTGGGAGTTTTTCACACAGCGCTGCAAAGTTTGGCGAAGCAGGTACGTCCGCGTCGGAGCGCAGCGCGAGACAACGCTCGCGGCGCGGCTGGGAATTAATGAATTAAATAACATCAGGGAGCCCGTCCGGGCCTTTTTGTTGCCGCGGAGGTACGGCGGCCTTATCTGTGCGGGCAAGTCAGCCAAGATTAGGACCGGCGATATGCTAAAAAGAAACGCTTGCATATGGTGGCTAGATTAAGGACAAAGAATCTTTTTGTCATGGAAATGGATTTTTTTTTGTTTTGTTTACTTCATCACATAGAATTTCTCACACTTGGTTTGTTTTGTATCGCCCTCAATGACTACATGATCAAATGAATGGATTTATTTCTGCCGAATGAGAAAGACAGTCTTTCCTTCAAAAGAACTACATTGCATCCCAGTGAGGAATGTTAAACCTTTATTATTGTGGCTGCTGAATAGCTTAAAATCGGCTTTCACAGCCGCCCCAAAATGCAACAATGTAAATACTTCTCAGCTTTGTAGGGTCGTTATCAAAATGTGCAATGTCTACTTTTTTTTAAAAAAAGCATATTTTAATTAATAGAGTAAAACCGCTTGTATTTAACAATTAACAAGCGGAGGCACTGCTATTCATTTTTAATTTCACTTCAGAAATGTGAGCATGTTGAACTTAATAGTGTAAACATGGTGAGGGGTATATAGAGCCTATATTTGAAAACCTAAGATGGAGTGAATTATTTACAAGTCCTGTTTTGCATTCCCCTCGTTGCTGCTCGAATTTATTTAGAGATGCAGGGTTTTTTTTTACCCGTGCTAGAATGAAAGTTTTTGCAAAGGCTGTGTTTTTCACAGTCATCCAGAGTTGTAATCGAGATATTGCCACAGTTCCTGATCATATTTTGCAACAGGCCAAAAATAGCCTATCTGGGGAGGGGGGGTGCAGAGACTCAGTCAAGTAATGTGTTTCCATGCTTGCTTTAAGGATAGTGTAGGCAAACTATGTTTTAAAAGTTCTTACAGATTTAATTATTCTGAAGCAGATTGTTCATGGAGCATAAAAGATGCTCTGTTCTCTGTTAAGTGAAGGAATGCTCATATGTATATTACTCTGAGGTTCTCATTGTTACTAAGATGAATAAGTAAAATGTTTCTTTAAGGATAAATGGTTGTGGAAACTTAATTATCCAACCTGAATCAGAGCTCCTAAAATTTTAATTCTGTTAAATGCAATGGAAATAAACTGACCATGCATGAAGTTATAAGTGAGCTAAGTTAGTTTACAGTGTTTTAGAAATGAACTAAGTAATTCCTTTGTATTACTTTGGGCGTGACATATTAATTAAAGCAATAGGTCCATCTACTTCACGTGCAGTGAAATTGAAGGCATTGCTAATGTCATGCAGAGCAAATATTATATGCAAAATTGTTTAGGGGAGGCAAAGATTCAGTCACATTAATTCACAGTAAAAAGCCTGTATTTCTTAAGAAAGGATTATGACATTTTTCAGGCTTTGGCTTTTGGGCAAGCAATGAAAAGACACTACACAAAAATAGCTTCGGTGCTATCCAAACCTTATCACTGCAGGAATGAAATATGATGACATTTCTAAAACGAGAAAAAGTAAGGATGATTCATGTAAAGTTTTTAAGTTATCCTTTTGTAAAAATTTATTTTAAGGATCACTGAGACTTAGGTTTCTAATAGAAATGTCTTTTAAAGTTACTTATTTGCAAAGTATTTCATTCCTGTTTTAGAAGTATGATGCAGCTTGTGATTCAGTTATTTATCCCACAAGAATGAAACCCTTTGGGCAAGCTGAATATTTTTGGTCTGAGAAAAATTAATTAAAACTTCCAATGACAGTTATACTCCCACTAAGAACTTTAAAAAAATTTAATATTGCTGCTCTTTATCGTATAAAGTATAATTTTTAAAAGATGTGTTTTGTCGTCCTTAGAAAATATGTATATAAGGAAGAACAAAGGGATATTATAATTTAAAACAATTTACCATCCTGTATTTTGTTTGTTAGCACTAATTGCTTCAAAGTGTGTTTTTATTTTCTGCCAACCTACAGTTTATGGCTATCTTAAAAATCCTTTTAAATGTGGTGAGCATGTGATTTAAGAATTTACCAGTGGTATTCACAGACTGTGTTTAAATTAAGGGAAGGAAGGCCACCAGTGCTAGGGAAGGATCTTTTCCTTTCATCTGTATCTGCATGGTCTGCCGGCTCTCAGAGCACACTACACACATTTACAATTCAGCATACCAAAAGGGACAATGCTGAAGCCACTTTCTAACACTCACAGGCAGATTGTTTTCTCTGAAACGTGAAAGGTAAAAAGTGAGTAACCAGGGGTAGGGGGGTCGAGGAGAAGAATCTGCAAACATTTCTTTTAAAAATAACATTTAAAAATTTAACCTATTTAAAAAATGCTCATTTCAGTGATGAACAAAAAAACATGCCAATTAATCCCCACCCTCAGAGAGCTGATTATGTAAGAGAGTTAGGGAATTTGTATGTACAATAAATTTTAAACTTCCACGGCATTATGCACAAATCCAGTATTTTTGGATCTGTTCAGAGCCAGAAAAAGGAAAAGGTATGGAGTAACAGCAGGAATTACTTAGCAAGCTGATTATTTTTTGTATACAAGATGATGAAAAAAGTGGGTCAGATTTCATTTTCAACTACAATCTCTAAGAAGCTTTACCATTCCTCTCCAGGTAGCCCCTAAGAACATTTTCTTTTGGGGGAATTCAGCAAAGAGATAAAAAAAAAAAAAAAAAGGTTTCTATTCTGTGTACTGACCATTAGATGGAATTTAGCATTCTTAAATGTAAGTTATGGGCACAGGCTTTTATTTAAGTGAAATAAAAATCTTTTTAACTGCTAATGAGGTTATGCACCATCTTTTAATGTTGCAAAATAGTTTCAAGAAGCATAATTTTTGAATCATACAGAAGGGGTTTCTTTATTGGTTTTATTAGATTTTATTTTCCTACATGATTTCTTGAATAGTTGCCAGAATAAGACCCACATGTCTTAGACAGTCTCATGAAGACGTGAGCTAATTCTGCTACTCGTGGAACAGGGTTGTAATTATAGCGTATGTTAAGTCGATACACATTTCATATAAAACCAACTTAAATCTATGCAAAAATCGAGTGTTTTACTGCTACTTTAAGCAAACTTTTATTTTTTATTCTACCTTAGATTTTTCTTGTAATTTCAACACAATTATGATTTAAAGTGCAGTTAACTATGTGATTTCCATGCAAACAAGGCAAAGTCATATTATAGGAAGTGTAAAATATTAATTGTAATAAGATAATGGAATAGTCTCTGTTTATGAGACTAAGAGAGTAAGATTGATTTGTTTCTTAATTAAAGGGAAGAGTTCTCGAGACTGAGACAGTGTCCACCAAAGGGCTCTGGACGATGCCAGTGTGGTGTCTAAATATTTTCTTCTGTGGGCCTGTCTTTTTCAATCACCTTCAGATTAGTTATGCCTACCATCTAAAATCCCTACCCCTTTGCATTCTCTGAGAGCATTAGCGGCCGGCCGGGGTAGAGAGCCTTTTTGTCTGATGTCTGTGAAAAGGTGGGGCCGCAGAGGGCTGGCCAGCTTCCCGGCTCTCCCCGAAGGTGGGTAGTTAGAAGAGCCTTGACAAGCCTTGCTGATTTAACCTTTGCCTGCTCTGCCCTGCCAGGGGTGGCCACTAGATGTCAAGCTCAT